GCATCAATTATACACATTATAACAAATACAATTAAATAAAAATTATCAATTCTCCATCAAAAATGAATAACTCATATAATACCGAAGAGATGCATTTATATATGTTTGTGAAATAATATATGAACACAAATCTAGTTGTAAGAAAATAACTTGGTCACGTTATTTTGGAGATAAATGAAAACGATGAACGGTTTTTTGGACAAAATCCTATGTTCAAATTGTTTAATAAACATTGGATTTTTGAAGACTAGTAAAACATAATATAATGACGTAAACAAGTATCTTATTAGAACTTAAAATGAACATTCGTCTTTTTTTTCAATTAGAATTTTGACGACGGAAAATAACGCCGAGAAGATTTAAATTCGAGACAGTGTAATATAACTTGTTTTCGTTACTTAATGCAATGAGAATGATTCCTCGTGTGTATAAAACATACTTATTATAATAATACAATCAAATAAAAATATCATTAAGCCCCAATCGAACATGAATGATACCAAACCGTAGAGATGCCTTTATATATGTTTGTAATATAATATACAAAGACAAATAAGTTGTAAGAAAATAACTCGGTCACGTTATTTTTGGCAAAAAATGACAACGATGACCCGTATTTTGGACATTGAGAGAATCCTTTGTTTAAATATTTTAAAGAAAATTGGATTATTGAAGACTAGTAAAACATATTACGTCAATATCTTATTAGTGCTTAAAAATGAACATGTGTCTTTTTTTATTTTGCATTACATCTTTAAAAGCAAAAAATAACGCTGAGAAGTTACAAATTCGAGTATAAGATAACTTGTTGCCGTTACCTAATAAAATGCAAAACATTAACAATTTATTGTTTATTTGTATACGATATAACATTTAAATATCTGATTTACACTTTACATAACTATTTTGTCTTTCTACAATTAGATATTTGTCTACGGAGAATAACGCCGAGAAGTTACAAATTCGAGTGTAATATAACTTGTTTTCGTTACTAAGTGCAATTGAAATGATTCCTCGTGTGTATAAATTACACTTATTATAAGAAATGCGATCAAATAAAACTATTATCAAGTCACAATCAAATATGAATGATATCAAACTGAAGGGAAGACTCAATATATTTTTGAGATAATATATGAAGACAAATGTAGTTGTAAGAAAACAACTTGATCACGTTTTTAGGCGAAAAATTGAAACGATGAACGGTATTTTGGACACTGACAAAATTCTGTGTTTAAATATTTTAATGAACATTGAATTTTGAAGACTAGAAAAACATATCACGTTTATATCTTATTAGTACTTTAAATAACACTTGTCTTCCTTTTTTTGCAATTAGATGCTTGGCAGAAGAAAATAACGCTGAAAAGTTACAAATTTGAGTTTAAGATACATTGTTGCCGTTACTTAATACAATGGGAATGACTCGTCCTATGTATAAGAAACACTCATTATAACAAAAATGCAATCAAATAAAATATTATCAATTCTCCATCAAAAATGAATGATACAAAATGGAAGGGATGCCTTTGAATATTTTTGTGAGAAAATAAATGAAGACAATTCTAGTTGTAGGAAAATAACTTGGTCACGTTATTTTTGGTGAAAAAAATGAAACGATGAACGACACTGTGACAATTTCTGTCATAAAAGTTATCATGAAAATGCTGAACTTTTTTTTTCTAAAACTCGATTAATTGTCTTTTGCAGCATAAACATGTAATAACATGTTGCCGTTGTCATTGAACGACCGTGGTCGGTTATTTGCTGGACTTTGCTGTTTCTTGCCGGTGTGCTGCGTCTTTTATGTTAACCACGCAGCCCAAGTGTGATACTTTTAAAATGCAAATTATTAATAATCATTTATAAAATGTTTTTGATAAAAAAGTATTTAATTTAATTAGCACTTTAGATGTTAATAGCATATGTCTTCTTATTTTTTACAAAATAGATCTTTGCCAGAGGAAAATAACGCTGAGAAGTTACAAATTCGAGTGTTAGATAGATAACTTGTTTCCGTTACTTAATGAAATAGAAATGATTTCTCCTAATTATAACAAATTTGGTCACGTCATGTTTCATGAAAAATAGAATCTTTGAAAAGAAAAACAATGGACAATATTTTGGACACTGTGATAATTTTCTAATTTCAAATATTTTAATAATTTTTAGATATTTGTCGACTGGTATAACATATAAGGTTAGAATAACCATATACACTTTTTTCCATGAAGTACTTTTTCTGAAAAGAACAACCGCTTTTAACATGTTTAAAGATGCTGCACTCACTGATGGACTACTGACGGTAAAAAATATAGTTAAAATGATTTTCATTTATAATTTCAGGGCCATAGAAATATGATCAAAGACAATTTTTCGAAACAAAAGTAACTAAGAAAATGTTTGTTTTTGCTATTTTTTATTGTAGAAAAAAAACCCAGTGACTTACGCTATGAATTTATTGGTATATAAACATTTTAAACTCGCAGTGTAGCACAATTTTTGTAAGCACAAAGATCCTAGTTTGAATTCTTTAAATAATTTATTTTTCCTTACAATGTTGGCTCCTACACAAAGAAAATGATTTTGACACTCATACATTTAATATACATTGATTTTAACAAAAGTTGAAATGTACTTATATATTGGAATGCAGTCAGTAAGATAACCTGTTTCCGTTAGTATTTAAACGGCATGGCTCATTGGCTTCACTCAGCCAGCCCGCATAGCTCAATCGGTTAGAACGCGAGACTTGTATTCTCGAAATTGTGGGTTCGATTCCCGGGATGGCCAACTAAATTTACTAATCAGTCTTTCGGATGAGACTTTAAATCGAGGTCCCGTGTATGAATGCTTAAACACTTAAGCACGTTTAAGAACCAGGAGAAGCTTCTGGAACTGGGGCATCTTTCTGTATCTTGCACTATCCTCCAAACTCAAAATGACCAATGCTCTTCTGGAGGACTCGACCATATGTGCAACCGGTGGCGAGTATTTATAAACGCAAATACACACACAAAAAGATTGGCTTCACTTGTACCTTGCCGGTCTTGTCAGTTTTTACGCCTTTTATGAAAAACACGCATCAGTGTAAAACTAATTAGTTAACACTTTTGTCTTCTCGATTTCTTGAATAGACAGAATGAATGTCTTTGAAGTATATTTGTGGAAAATAACTTTGTGATCGGTCTTATATTTAGTGAATATGGAACAATGAACCGTTACAATATTTTGCACACTGTATTATTACGGACATTCAAACAGTTTTCAAACAATTTTATAAACATTAAATATTTGTCGAATGGTATAATACATTGTGTAAAATGTTTGAGTACTCGTTCTGTAAATATTTGTTGTTCTCAATAGAACAATTGCTTTTGCAGAGTATGATAACTTATACGCGTTAAAACATAGTGGGCCAATATTACGTGCTGCCGTTGGCTGTCATTTGCTAATTTAGTACATGTTGTAAAAAAAAACTTCATCATTACATACACACTGGACGAAGACGTGCCGTGACTGTGTTAATCTATCAATTTGGACGTTGTTTTTATTAAAGTTTTTTTTGCGTAAATTATGCCGTGGTGATACAATGTCATAGTTTTGTAGATCTAATGGTTTTACTAAATATAGTTAATGGCATATACATTCGCAACTACATTAAAATATGGAGTAAATATTTATGTTATAATAAATAATTCTTGCAGCGGGAGACTTTTTTCCACGGACGCTGCTTTTTACTTATATTGGTGCAACGGATAAAACTACTTAGTTGCTGCCGTCTAGAAATAAAAGATAAAAATACCTCTACAAAAAATAAGTTTTTAATACGGTTTTTAGACACATTAATTTGTTTTAAAATAAACGTTTAAAAAGCCATGTCTACAAACTTACACGAAAACAATGTATTTAACATTATTTAAGCTGTATATGAAATATTGGTATTGATTTCAGTATCGTTTAACTCACTATAAACCCACAATTTATAATTACATTGCAGACAAGAATTTTATTATGTTAAGTAGTATAAATGGTAGACAATTGGGAATAAAGCCTGATAGGGTAGCAAGAGTTATTTTTCTTGCTTCCCCTACTTTCCGGAAATAACGCAAAAGAGTTAGAAATGATTTTGTATTACCTTTTTTCAAATGCCCTGCGCACAACTTTATCAGCTTTGCTCACCAAGTCAAAGACAGACATGTGAAAGCATATTGTTTATACTTTCATAAAAAAATTATCAGAACAATAGGAAAATTTTGAGATTCGCGCAACAGCGATCTCAAAATTCGAAAAATTGGTCATTTTTGAGCTAAAAATAGCACATATTTCAAATTAATTAGACCGTGACCTGACTATGAGATGCATTAACCTGTTGATTTATCGGTACTGTACAAAATACGTGTACTTACAGTCACTTTTCGATGTAAACGGAGAACATATACGAATAAAATAAACATTTACAAAGTTGATCCTGTTAGTAAACGGATAAAATTTTATAACGGCTATGGGTTATAAAAATGATAACGTGTTTAAGTTACACCCCTGACTGTCAGATTCAGTTTTTTTGCAAGTACCCCATATAATACAACATTAAACAAAACAAGGTAAAATATAGGCACTTTCATTTCAACGGATAAAAAGTACGATATCCGCTTTAACATAGCAATTTGTTTTTTTTGTAATTCATTACAGACATACTTTATTTGAATATTTCATTTTAAGTTTTCATCTAATTATTTCTGTGATTTCTCTGTTCTGTCGAATTTTCAATGCCCCGCTGTATGTATATCAATGGTTAAGTATTTACCATACAACGAAAGCTTTATTTTTATCACGAATTTTAATTTCAGTCCGTTATTTTATATAGAGTTAATTGCATTTCAAAATAATTTCATTTGAAATTGCACTTGTTTTGTTGTATATTATTAGTTAGAGCGAAGAATGCCTCAGTAGCGTTCAACCTTTCTTATTTCTGACAACTTAATTTTACAACGACACCGCTACAGCACTTCCTTTTCCGCCACATCAATTCTTCTGGGTGGTGCAACTTTTTGGTCGTGTCCTCAATATCGGACTCATCCAACACAACTTCGAAGAATTGAAGCTATTCAACTGTGTAGTAAAGCTTAAAACATGCCTCCTAAATTTGATCCAACCGCAGTTTCCATTGGTAAGCTTGTATGATGACATTAGATTAAATGAAATTATGGAGCATTTGAGAGCACAGCAATTATATACATGTGAAAGATGAAAACGGTAATTTTGTTAATGTTGACTCGTTATAAAAAACCTGTACGAGTTTAAATTTCGTTTAATTTATTTGCAACTAAAATCTCATTCATGTAGCTTTATTTTTTACAAAGGGGTACGGCTCATTGAATGTTCACAAAATATGTATTTGATGGTAGAAAACATGTATCCTAAGTCAGAAATGAATTCTAAGTCCATTCCCATTACACTATATACTAATATATAGACAAGGGTAACAACTCCCATAAGAAGGTGTCTATGCCCAATCAGGGTTTTTGCCTCGTAGTTTTTTACACGATACAGCATAAATAAAAAGGAATTATGCAATTTGTAGTCGAATGATTTATCTATCGAACCAATGTAAAACTTTTCTTATATCTCTTATACTTAACGAGTACTGGCCGTCAAAGTAACAAAAAACTGTTCATTTTCGCGAGGTCGACATCGATCGTGGCTACGCAGGAAACACAAAGTTACACGACTGTTGCAATCGTTGGAGATAATATCACAAGCATTTATCATGCTGGGCAATTAAAAATACCTAAAAGTAATCAAAATATACCAATAACCTATAATGACAATGTGATATAACTCACCTGCGGGCTTCAAAATATTTCCCCGTTGAAATTTCTATAAAACACCGCCATCTTGACGAATGTAAACAACCGTCACCTGAATTGGTCGGTTTTATTCCCGAAAATATACACGTAAATTTCGAAAAAAAAAAACGACCAATCAGGTGACGGTTGTTTACATTCGTCAAGATGGCGGTGTTTTATAGAAATTTCAACGGGAAATATTTTGAAGCCGCAGGTGAGTTTATATCACATTGTCATTATAGGTTATTGGTACATTTTGATTACTTTTATGTATTTTTAATTGCCCAGCATGATAAATGCTTGTGATATTCAGGGATCATTCTAGGGGGCGATTTCCGCGATTTCTCGCAAAAATATCACCAAAATCTCAGAGAAATTTGTGAAATGAGAGAAAATCTCGCACGGCAATTTGAGCCGGAAAATGTCTAAACACAATCTAAGGAATGCTAAAATTACACAAAAATATGATGAAAAATTCACGATTCCCATCAAGAATTTAATTTCAAATTGTTTATTAATAAAATCGGTGTAAAAAACTCCAAAAAGTAGTCCAACACTAAGAATTATTTAGCCTAAAATAATTGCCGATCAGAGACCGCAAATTCACCGTACAGAAATACGGTATGATGGCTAACCTTTATCTGTCTGTAAGTCGAGAATTTACACAAAACACTTTTAATTGATTTTAATAAAAAAATTGAGACACAGACTAAAATAAAAATAGAACATGTCAAAAATAATCTACCGGTAAAATTTGTCTTCTAAAAAAATGTCACATCAACCACGGTAAATTTTGTCGTAAAGAACAATTTTAAAATTTTGTTTTACGATTCCTGATGAATATAGCCGATTAATATATGTTCTTTTATTGAACAAAAAAATTTAATTTTATATAATTGCAATCAGCAACAGCTAGAATTGTGAATTGTTTCAGCGGAAAACAGACAAATTTTCATTTGTCACATATTTTCGCGATGTCATGATTAAAACAAATTCTAAAAGGAAGCCGAGTGTTATTTAAAGTGTTTTTATAACACTAAAAATGATGTTTATGAATAAAAATTACTTTAGTTATTGTTTATATTTGTGGATTATAAGATATTGAGAGATATTTGTTCATTATGTGTTAGGTATATTTTTTAATGAGGGAGGTGTGTGAAGAGAATCATAAAGTAAAAACAAAAATGAAAGGTTACAAAAAATATTTCTTTCAAATCAACAATCACTTCTGTACAGTACAGTGTTGTCCATTGAACATTGACTGCAAATAATAGTTTAGTAAATATCATGTATAATTCTTTTTATAATTTCAAAATAAAGGTGTTATATTTATTTTTCACAATTAGAATTTATATGTTTTAAAAATCACAAAAAAAAAGGCATAGGTGAGTTTAAAAGTGAAAACAAAAAATCCTGTAATAAACAAGGGGAAAAAAACTAAAAAAAAATTTCTTTCTTTTTTATATTTTTCCCTTTTTTCCAATTTTAAATAAACCCAAAAATTTGTATATATGTTACAGTGAATTTTTAAAAAGTTAGAAATTTCATTATTTTTAACCTCGCCATCATGGAAAATTAAATTCTCTCAAGAAAATCTAATTTCTCTCACAAAATTTCTCAAATGATGAGAAAAATCCTCTCATAAAAATCCTGACCAGGAACCCCGATATTATTCCACGTTTGCAAATTTTAAATTTTGTGTTCCTGGACACGACGAGCGACCTCCAAAAAACTTTTTTTGTACTTTTGAGGCCATAACCTTTAATATAAAATATAAAAAAAATTTTTACTTTGGTTCGAAGATAAATCTTTGACAAAATTGCATAATTTTTTTTATTTATGCTTATCGTGTAAAAAACTACAGGGAAAAAAACCCTATTGGGCTAGACACCTTTTTAGGGGTTTTACCTTGTTAATTATAAAAATAGTTTTGGGGAATGTTTGAATCATTTCTGATTTAGATAAATTTTTCAAACCATCAAAAAATTTTTTGTGAACTTCAAGGCCGTCCCCCTTTGATTTTTTTGAAAAAGAAAAAAATTTTATAACCTTTCCTGAACTAATAACCTTTTCCTGATAAAAAAATTTTTGATCAAATTTGATTGCATTGTTTATGCATATTGGGAAAAAAAAATGTGATTTATGATTATTTGAATGGGGCATACACCCTTTGTCACATAACAAATATTTTCATAACGGGGCTATATAGTATTAAAGATATAAGGCCCCCCAAAAACAAAAACACCGACAAACAAAACATGCTGCAAGAAAAACAGACCGGGATCTCTTTTTTGTGCCCTTGAAAGGGTCAACCAACGTTAAAGCTTTTAATTCATTTTTAAAATTTTTTCAAATAGCAAAGAAATGAGAAAATTTCGAAAAACCAATTTTAAACATTATTTTTGACGTCCAACTATTTATGTAACACACGATTCTGGCGTTTTTTAAAAAAAATAGAAAACACTAAAATTTCTCATAAAAATTTATAACAAAAACCTTTTTTTTATCAATTCCAAGTCAAATGAACAGAGCCCCCCTTTACGAAATATTAAAAAATGGTTGAAGCGGGTCAAATAAAAAAGCGCCATTTTTAATTTTTAAGTACGGGAAAGAAGCAAAGAAATAGTATTTTACGATTGGGGCAATAGTACCCTAAATTTTCTTTAACCCAAAAAAAATCCTTTTTAAAAAATTAGAGCAACAGTATATACATGGGTTAATGGCGATAAAACTGTACAACAATCCCTTTGGATTTTTTAAGAATTACGACGAAAAAGGGGATTTGATCAGTGAAAACTTGCAACGATAGGAAAAAGTTTGTTGGAACGTGAAAACCCAGAAAGTACATACATGGTTAATTTTTGGTTTTTTTTTTTTTTAATTAAATTTTTATTGAATAAATTTTTGTATTTAAAAAATAATAAATTTAATGTTGTAAAAAATTTAAACCAAAAACGTTAATCAACTAAACAAATTTTTTTCCAGAATTTAAAAATCATTTTAAGAAATTTTTTGAGCAGAATTTCCCCCCTTTATTTTTTTAAAAGGACTTTCTTATTTGAATTTTTACCTGACAACAGCTTTGACTAACCCCCCGACCGACCACCCAATCGATAAAATTTTCGTGGTCGATGAAAATCCAAATGGTAGCCCTTGGCGAGGGCTTTTTTATATCCCAAATAAAAAAATGTTTGGGAAAAACAAGCAAACAAAGAATGTTTGGGTTTAAAAAACAAATATTTTGCAATTGGATGGAAAACAAAAGTTAATTTTCAACACGCTGTAAGTGAAAACGAAAAGTGCAGGAATGAATCAGAAAAATGGGAAGTAACTCTTGGGGGTTTTTAAATAAATTTTTTATAAAGTAAATTTGGGGAAACATTTTAGGACTTAAACCTATTCAATTTTTTTAACATAATTAAATTTTTTTTACAAAAAATAAAAAAAAAGTTGTACTTGCCCCTTTATTATTGGAAAAATATTTTTTCCCCTTCCATCGCAGTTTTGACTCAATATTTTTTTGACCATTTAGTTTTTTCATTTCGGAAATTTTCCTTTAAAAACAATCTTTGGTATAAAATTTTTAAATTTTATTAATTTTATTTTCATTTAATTTTAATTTCAATAAAATAATCAAAACCAAAGAACGGACTAAAAGTATTGAAAAATAGAGTAGAAAAAGCCCATCTGACCCCGTATGATTTAAAAAAATTACACTTTAAACAAAAACAGTCAGCAACAAAAAATCTGTCATTAATTTTGTGTAACCAAAAAACCAGCAGGAACCCCTAAAAAGGGAAGTTTTTTATTTTTCACATTGAACAATTTTTATAAATAGTTTTGATTTATTTAAAAAAAAACTTTTAAAGGGCAGTAAAATTATAACAAAACAAAAGCAAATTTTTTATAAATTTTTCCCCCAGAATTTTTTATTTTTCTCGATTTTTATGGAAAAACTTGGCCTAAAAAATTTTTCGCTTTTGAACTTAAAAGCGTATAAATTTAATGTTCATTTAAAAAGGGCCCCATGCTTTACAAATGTCTTTAACTTCCCCAAAGTTAAAAAAAACGCGACATTCGTCGACAAACCATGAAAATCTTCGGACCGAAAAAAATCTTGGGCCAAATAAAATTTTATCAAAACAAGAATAAGTTGTTTTTTTTAAACACTTTTTGTTTTTATTTTTTTCGCCGTAAAAATCGGCACATTCCTTACAGCGCATTTTCATCTCCTCCCTATCATACACCAACGATTCACTGTCTTGCTTCTAATTTTCATTAAATTTTGTCTCAGGTCCTTCTTTTTATCCTTTTACTACTG